AGGGGGCAGGGCTTGCCCTTGTCTTCGGAGGGCAGGTGGCCTGCGGTCATCGAGCGAGGCCTCCTGGGAGGTCTCATCTCTGGAAAGTGGCCACGCTGCACAGGCCGGCCTGGCACCCAACAGCCGTTACCAGTGACCTGAGAAGCTTGGGTGTTACTCCTTGGAGGAACGTAGGCAACCGTCCTTGCTGGCGCTTAGGCGGGGCAGGTCCAGGACCTGGCACGAGCGCCTCAGCGGACACTGCTGCGAGGCCCACCGGCGACTGCTGACCGGCCGCTCCAAGGAGGACGTGTAGCGGCTCCATACGCCCACTTGGTTTAAGTAGGACAAGATTCCTGGGAGAGGGGGCTGGGTGGGTGCTGGACTCTGGGCTCCATCCTAGGCCTGCCACCTCCCTCGAGGCCAGCTGCCTCTGGTTCTCCCTGGGCTCCACCCTCTGCCCTGCCAACGCCCTGCACTTCTTTCAGAGCCTTGCGCTTACCTGCCCACAGCATCAGGGCGCTGGCACACCAGCACAGGTAGAAGGTCACCATGTAGGATACCTGTGGCCTTGGGCGCAATATCTGGCAGTTGACTACAAAAAGCGTCAGGCTGAGGAAAATCAGGAGCCCTGCACTGGGGTGGGGCCAGAGATGGCAGGAGGCTGGACAGTGACCCCCAGGAATCACGGTGGGAGAAGAGAGAGGGACTTCCTCTCCCACCCTCTAGGACAAGCAAAGAAATGGGCATGCTTGCACACAGGACAGACCGACGCCTGGAGGGAGGGGAAGGGAGGAAAAGAGAAAGACAGTGGCAAAGAAGGAATTCACACACGTGGCTGACAGAAAGAACAGGCTGAAATACACACAAGGTTTGGGCCCAAGAGACACCCCAAGGCCAGCAGACAGCGAGCCTCGTCAAGGCAGGAGGTTGGGGGGCACCCTCTACCCTGCCACTCACCAATGCTGATGCTGAGGGAGCTGAAGACCAAGTCCAGCTTGCTCAGGCGGCGGAAGAGCGGTCGGAAGGAGAGGCTCATGGAGAGGAGGAGGAGGAGGCACAGGGCCATGGCCAGCATCATGAGGCCCTTACTCATGTGAATGAGAACTAGAGAAGTGGTGACAAGTACCCACAGTCACCCCCAGACACTCAGGCCACCTTCCAAAGCATCACACTGACACCCATAAGCAGCCCAATAGGCACCCTAGGTCTGATCACAGATAGCCTCAAAATCACCCCTAGAAACTCCAGAATAACTCCACTCTCAAAATTCACCTTCAGAGAATCTCCAGAGACACCCCCAATCCTAAGATCCTCCCCCAGAAACTCCCGGGAGACCTCCACCCTCAGTCGCTCCCAGGATACATCTGGAGGCCCTGTAGCCCATGCAGGGTAACTGACCGGTGACCTGGCCCGTGTCAGGACACTTGTGCCTCCTGCAGTTGGTCCAGAAGCCCAGGTAACCAGTGTAGGAGCCCTGCAAGTAGGCCATCTGCCCATCCACCACGCTGAACACCATCAGGGCAGAGAGAACGATGAAGACGAGAGACCAGCCCCGCAGGATGAACTTGCGGTCCTCCTCCCAGGAGAGCTGGGCTGCTGGGGCAGAAGAGAGTTCTGGGGGCTGGATCTTCTCCATCACTTTCTTGTATCCTAGTCTCCATTCCCAACCCAAACCAAGCTCACCTTTCATCCCAGTCTGAATCCCCTCCCATCCCCCCGACCCACAACCACCCCCCCACTTAACCCATACCACAACCACAGCCTCATCGCCGACTGTTCCTGTCCCATCCCCATCTCTACACTACCAGCAGCCCATCCCACTCACATTATCCTCCCCTTCCTAACCCCTAGCATAGCCCCATCCCCACCTCCAGTTCCAGACACATCCCCATTCCCATCGCTAACTCTGATGCCAATCCCATAACCCCATCCTAAGCTCCAGCCTGCTTGTGTCCAACCCCATTCTCGGGTCCCTGTTCCCCAAACTCCAGCTCCGACTCTGCTCTCAATCGCATCCACTTATCTCCATCCCTCCCCCAAACCCCAGGCCAGGGCACTATGATACCAGTTTCAAGGTGTGTTCCTGAGGGCAAGAACCATGGGGTCCAAAAGGGACCCAGATGCTGTACTGCTCCTGCCCCAGATGCTTTTGATCCTACCAACTTTCCCTTTGCCATTCAAGTCCCACCTCCCATGAGTGGGCAGTCCTGGTGAGAAGCTGGTGGGAGGCAGGGTGGGCTTGGCACTACTAGGCTGAGATGGGAGCACTAGCAGTGCCGCTTCTATGATTCCACTTCAGACTCACAAACTGGGGCAGAGAGCAGAGAAATAACAGCTGTAATGGAAGCAGACTGCTGTTGACCTTCACAGATCCACACCCAAAGACCTGGAATTGTCAGGGGCAAAACTGCCTGACTGGACTTTCCACTAGCTGAGGTCTCACAGCAGTGTGCCCAAGGAAAGGAAGACAGATCACCGTGTGTGTGTGTGTGTGTGTGTGTGTGTCTGTGTGTGTGTGTGTGTGTGTGTGAGAGAGAGAGAGAGATGTTAAATAATGGTTGTATGGATGGAGACACAGATATAAAGACAGAGATATATCTGCAGATTTTTTTCTTCTTATCTCCCCTTGTATAAATTGTATTTTGCCTTTTCTAAATGAAATCAATTCTTACTTTCCCTTTTATACGAAGAAAAAGTCTATACTAGAATTATGAAAATACTGCTGGCAGTATTTTCTGAAAATAAACATCAATATCCTTTTTAAAAAGTCATTTCTACTTAGTTCAGAATTTCTAATAAATTACCAAATGAATATTATAAAAAAGAACTAGAAACAAACAAACATAAAAGTCACTGCAACGTGATGTTTGGCCTAGGCAAAATAATCATACTAATAGTTTATTCTCTCAACAAACACTTATTGAACAATGCCATGTGCTAAAACTTGTGCCAAATGCTAGAAATAGAACTGAAAGTCAGACAGTTTAACCCCAGCCCTTAGGGAGCTCACGAGGAATCAGAAAGGCAGGCATTACACCAAAAATCACACAAGTATATCAAGACCAAATGTGATAAATGCTGACAGCTGAACTAATCTAAATGTCCAACAGCAGGGGATTGGTCGAGAACACAACAGTCCAGCAGTGGGCAGCAAAGTCTGATAGTCCTCTACTTATGCTCTGGAACAAAAGCTGGATAGAGCAGAAGGTGAACCCTAACTGAGCAAGGGCAGGCCTAGAATGAAGGCTTTATTACCAGGTTCCCTCACTTCTCAGTGGCCATATGACTGAGTGCTGACGAATGGGGTATGAATACAAGTGTTTCAAGCTCTAAAAGGGAAGGTCTTATAATTTCCCTTCTCTCTTTCCCTGGATGGAATGTGAACAGGATAAAGGGTTAAGCAGACATATGGAGGGTAAAGTAAAAAAGACAGAAGGAACCCTGCACCAGGACCCACAGGGGAAAGAAAGAATTCTTCATAATATAAACCACTGTTACTTCATTTGAGACCCTGTTCCAGATGCCAAACAAATCTCTCAACAATCCACAACAGAAGACCACATTTCACTGATTGCAAAATGCACATTTTTTTGACATTTTTTAACCCTCCTGAAATTGGAATGCATCATATATCATCAATAGTATCTCAAAATCACCTTTGGTTATTTTTTTTATTACAATATCGAAGAATGCCACCTAGATGCTCTGTGAAACACAATGTTATATAGTCATCAAAATCTACTAACAGGCCGGGCGTGGTGGTGCATGCCTGTAATCCCAGTGGCTCAGGAGGCTGAGGCAGGAGGATTGCAAGTTCAAAGCCAGCCTCAGCAACTTAGCAAGGCTGTAAGCAACTCAATGAGACACCATCTCTAAATAAAATATAAAAAAGAGCTGTGGGTGTGGCTCAGTGGTTAAGACCCCCTGGGTTCAATCCCTGGTACAAAAAAAGAAAAAGAAAAGAAAAGAAAAAGAAAAAATCTACTATCTAATAACAGGGGGCTGGAGAGGTGGCTCAGTGGGAGAGCACTTGCCTTGCATGCATGATTCCCTGGATTCCATCCTCAGCACCTCAGAGAGGGGGAAAAAAATCTAATGACATGGATATTCATGTAAATAAAGACATTTAAAAGTTTGTGGTTCTTTTTTTTTTTTTTTTTCCTTTTCCTCAGAAGATTATCACAAAGCCAAAGGAAAGAATGGAGGACAGGGATTGGAAAAGTCCCCACCCCTCACCAGTAGGAGAGGTCACACATACAGCTTGGGGCACCTGTACCCCTAGTGACCCTCTTGATCCCCAAGCCTTGGCTGAGTCTTCCTCCTCTCCCCAACCCTAAATTGCAGGTCTTTGAGAGCAAGCAGCGGGCCTTCTCTGCAAGCTCAGGGAGGGTGCAGTGGGCAGAGACAGAAGGAGCAAGAGAGGAGAGCTATGGGGAGTGGAGAAGGCCACCAAGGGAGGCTGACCCAGAAGCCCTGGGAGGGGTGAGGAAAGAGGCTGGACCAAGAGGGATTACAGAGGCAGGTCTCAGGCCCTCTAGAAATTGTCAGAATTCATGGGCTCTGACCAGCCCCGACCCCAGCCTCCGCCATCCCTGCCGCCTCCACCCCGACCCCACCCTCTCACTGACCCAGCCTACCCCTTCCTGATCCAATCGTGACTCCACTCAGACCCCATACTGAGCCCAATCTGACCCAGCCCAGCCTCCAAGTCACTCAGAAAGGGTGGGGTAAAGTCTGAGGCCTTGGCCAACGACCTAACCTCCTGGAACCCCTCCAACTGTCATAGAACCTACCCCCAACACAATCCGTCCCCAGCTGTGGGCCAGACTGAATCCCTGAGCCGTACCTGCGGGAGAGCGGGAGAGACCAGGAAACAGACAAAAAGACAGAGAGATACAAATGCCAAAGGGCCGCTCTTGAACCCCAGAGAGAAACCAACCGGCTTCCTGGGGCCATGGAGGTGCCCAGAAGGAGGGGCTGAGGCAGTTCGGGCAGCTGAATGCACTGGGACTGGCCTGATGCGGCGCCTCCATGTGTCCCAGAAGCCTCCACCTGACCAGCAGAGCACTCAGCCAGCAGCTCCCAATAGCACCCACGCTGAGACCCAAAGCTCTTTGTCAATTGCCCTTGATCCCCAAGTCCATACTCAAGAGTCTCCGCTCGCCGTCAGCACTCTAAGGGTCAGCAGCCAACCTTCTCACACCACTGGCATTCTCAAGGTCCACCACCAAGAGCCTTCGTCCACCCGCAGCGGTCGCCGGGTCAGCATCCAAGAGCCTCCGCCTTCCCTCAGCGTGCGCCGGGTCAGCATCCAAGAACCCCTGTCAATTTTGCAGAGTCACCGGATCAGTAGCCACGAGTCTTACCCAGATAGCAGCCATCGCCGGTTTAGTATCCAAGACACACCATCCATTACCTACAATGGCTGGGTTGGTGCCCGAGATGGTCAACCAAATCAACACTTGAGCACCTCCCTGACTGAAATCCAATCAGTTAGCAACCATAGTCAAACCGATTTTGAAAATTTCCAGACAGTAGAGAGAACCGGCCAAACATTCAAACAAAACCGGCTCAGTGTTGATGTCCCCCCATCCATTACCCACAGCCCTGAGGCCAGTATCAAAAGTATTGAATCAATTGTCTGGGGTTCCCAGGAGAGTTTCAAACAATATGCGCACAGCCCCCAACTCAGCCAAATCACTCTGGACAACATTCACAACTATATGCCCCGGTACTCCACCGGAATTGGTTCCTCCAGGTGAGAGGCAGGGACCCCAGCAGACCAGTCTGGGCTAGAATTTTGAGGGGCGGGCAGCAGTCAAAGGTCAGGGACCAGCAGCATAGCTGGTGCATTAGAAATTGGAGGGTGTGACAGGCCTTGGAAGTCTTACCTCCAGGCTGGTCCTGAATGGAACTCTGCATCCAGTGAGATCTGGAATGGACACATGATAGAGAGGGTCTGAAGGCTGGGTCTGGGATGCCTGGGCAGTGTGGCTGGACTCAGTGCTGACGATGATGGTGTATGATCTGATTCAGGTTTCAGGACAAATGGAGCCGCCAATCACTGCTGCCCTTAGGCTGGCGACTGCTGCACGAGGCCAGGAAGATCAGCCGCCAGCTGAGCCTGGTGCTGAGCCTGGCTGGCATGGTGATCATTGGTCTCATTTCTCTGGGCCAGCCCTGGATGCACTTCCAGGTGCCACTGAAGCCACCAGGGGACCCTGATGGCCCGCAGACCATCCCCATCAACACCATCTTCTTTATGCAGTGCCCCGACGTTGTCTGCATGTATGAGTACGACCAGAATGCTTGTAAGGCCCGCCCCTCCTCACCACCCTAGGACTCATCTCTCCCAGGAACCCGTTCTCCTGTCCTAAAATGTTTTTTCCCTTCCCTGGGATGGTCCTCACTGCCCACCCTACTTCCTACTACCCAATAACCTGTCCTTTCTGACCCAGAGGTGGATACTGAATGCTGGAGGTACCAGCCTCAACACTAGTCCTCTAGAGCCCAATTTCAATTTTCCTAACATGAGAAAACTCCCACTCCCTCTCCCCTGTGCTCAGAGGCGAAAAGACAGTCTTGGTGTTCCTGGTTCTCTTCCTTCCCCAGACTTGCTGGACCTTTCCTGGGCCTTCCTCGTTATCTCCAGTATCACCGGCTTCTGCCTCTGTGTGGCTCTAATAAGCACCCTCTTCTTTACCAGCTCCAACCTGCCCATGCTGGACTTCTTCCTCTTCATCAGCAGCATCATGACAGGCACAGCACCTAAGATCCTTCCCTCAGGAACCAAGGCGAGGAGTATCTTGCCCAGTACTGACCATGGAACCCAACCCCATCTCCACCATACTCCTCACCTTTATCCCCAACCCTAATCCTATATCCTTACAAATCTCCAACTTATCCCAATAAAAATATCAACCTTCAACCCAACTCTACATTCAGACCCAACATCAAGCTCAACTTTAACGCTTGCCTCCATTGCCAACAAATCTCAAACTCATCCACATCCTCCACTGTAGATCCATTCCCATCCCCACCCCATCCCAACTCTTCTTTTCAAACCAATCCCATAAGTATCCCCAATCTCTTTATAAATCTCAACACCCAACTTATTCCCATTCCTGATTGTGCTCAACATTTGTTTCAAATTCAACCCAATCCTATCAGCTGTGAACTTCAACTTCAGTCCATCTCCACCCCCCCACCTCTACCACCTATGAACCTCACCCTCAAACCCAACCCAACCAATTCCCAACTCCATCCTTTTATCCATATCCAATCTATCCTCTTCCCAACCACAACCCATCACCATCCTCAACCACAATCCCATCCCTACACAACCTCAGCTCCAGCCTCTCCCTGATATCCAGTCCCATCCCAAATCCTGTCCCACCACCACTGCTCTCTGATTTTGGTAAAGCTGCTTCCTCTTTCTGAGCCACTTTTCTCATCTGTGGGTTGAGGATAAAATTTCCTACCATATGGAAATGTAGTGAGGACTGTATTGGATGTCAGTATTGGACATGAAGGTGATCTGGTTGCCACGTCTGTCACCCCATTGATTGGTCAGGGTGGGATTGGCTGGTCTGAAAGACTAGGTGTGTGTCCACTTCCTCGTCACTTCATGTATGTCCCTCCAAAGCTGCATGCTCAGTAGAAGAGGATGACCCCCTTTAATGGAAAAGGGCTGCTTTCTGGTCAAGGGAATATGAACACTGTGCTTCCCTGCTAGGCCCCCAAAACAAACTCTCAGGGCCCATCTATAGTCAAGTCCCCAAGACTTCAGACATATCCAGATGAGGTTCTTCATGTAGCAATCTGCCTTTCAAAAGCAAGGAAAAAATTGTCAATACTTGATGCCAGCTATTTAACTTTGCACAAATCCTTACCAAGAGAATCCTCTCACCTGATCCAAATAACACAAAATTGATATACTGATTTAAATGTTTAGTTTCCATTTGCATGCCACAGTTGCAAAAAGTGTGTGTGGGGGGGGAGGATTTTGCTCTAGAATGAGGAATGTTGTCTTCCTGTCAGTTGTAGTAATTGACCACAACTTTCAGTTGCTTTGGGAAAATATTTTTGGACACTGATGGTATAGCCAAGAATAGAGACCTCTCAACTTCCTGTTTCCTTGTTAGAAACTGGTATTTATCCACTTTGTCTGCTAGCTTATCCTAATTGTTTAAACATAAAGTACAAATAGCAGAAGCCACCTTAATTTAAAACATCTAAAAGAGGACATTCTTCTAAAAGAAAATAATTTCTGTCCATTCCCTCTTTGGGGGGACAGATGGGGGACACTGAGGGTTTAACCCAGGGGCAATATACCACTGAGCTATATCTCCAGCCCATTTTTTTTTTAATTTTGAAACAAGGTCTCATTAAGTTATTTAGGGCCTCACTAAGTTGCCAAGGCTGACCTTGAACTTGCAATCCTCCTGTCTCAGCTTCCTGAGCAGCTGGGATTGCACCCATGTACCACTGTGCCCAGCTTCCCTCTTTTAACTAAATAGAGAACATCTCCTATATTATTTTTCTATAACACAAATTAGCCAGTACTCCACAATCTGAAAAAGTCTTTCCTTTTTATAAATTACCTTTAATTCATAACATTTCAAATTATCCAGAAAGACTGAGATCTTTGTTGCTTCAAAAGACCAAAATTAAGGACTTAACATAATGATAATCCATCTTTGAGGAATTACTATGCGCCAGGAAATGTGCTGATCACAATATCTCCTCATGTTAACCTTACAGGATGGGTACTATGATATGCCCACTCTTCGGATTAGAGGCTCAGAGAGATGGAGTGGTTGCCCTAAAATGAGGTGCAGAGGCAGGATAAGAGACCTGGTCTGTTAGTACAAAAGCCTATGGGTTTCCTCAATATTGTTGCTTAGTTTTTAAAGACCAAGACTTGACTTCCGATACCCTCTAGCATGATATTGTCAGGAGCCAGTTCTCTCCTTGTAAGCAGAGATATAAAGGTTGGGGAGGTCAAAAAAAGAGGGGGAAATAATGAATCAGCTCAACTCTGAGCAGGGGTTCTCACACACCTGATTCCTGGTCTACTAACATCTGTGTCCATGCAGGGGCCAGTATCATATTGGGCGTCCTGTTCTACCTGATGCAGGCCCACAAGTTCCTGCAGGAAGGCATGACCTACAAGCTGGGCATCAGCTTCTATCTGGCATGGACTGCCGTCTTCTTATTCCTGATGAATGGTCTGAGTTGGGATGGGTTGGGTTCAGGCATGGCTTCAGGGATACAAATATGTATTGTGTGGGATAGTTTGGGATGGCAGTGGGGTTGCAGACAGCGCTAGGTAGGGTGGTTTTGAGGTGTAAAAATGGGGTTTAGGACACACATGGGGCTGGATGTGGGATTGGGTTTGAGTTTAAAAGTTGGTTGGGGACAGTGTAGGAGATAAAGCCAAGTTTGGATTTAGGGATGGGTTTGGAGATAAGTTAAGGAATGAGGAAGGGTTTGGAGATAAATTAAGGAATGAGGATGGGTTTGAGGATGGGATTGGATGCAGTGTAGGATTAATCTAGTGAACTCTGTATCTCACGCCCTCTGTCATCTTCCTCTCCCAGGTTTATTCTCCTATCTGAATTATATGAATTTCTGGTCCATCCTGGCGATCCAGGCCATCTGGGCTTAGCACATGGGAATGAGCCCACAAATGGCCTGCTCTCATGGCTACTTGTCAAGCACCTGACAACCCTGCTGTCTAGCCCCCACCCCCACCAAGAATCTTGTATTTTTTTCAGTCTCCTCTGACCTCCCCCCAAACTCAAATTAATAACCTATATTTTGAAATAACCTGTATTTTCTTTTTTTTTTTTAAGAGAGAATTTTAATATTTATTTTTAGTTTTCGGCAGACACAACATCTTTGTTTGTATGTGGTGCTGAGGATCGAACCCGGGCCGCACGCATGCCAGGCAAGCGCGCTACCGCTTGAGCCACATCCCCAGCCCCTAACCTGTATTTTCTGCCCAGAATATTCTTTATTTAGTTCTGTTCCTTGAAAGCATTTTGTGGAACTGCTATCTTTCTGATGCAGCCATTCTTGGGTTCTCTGGGTTTGGAGGGACAGGGAAGGAAAGGGACTCAGAGGTAAGGGACCAAGGCGCAAGATCAGCAGGGACTGGACAATGATCCCTGGCATACAGATGATGTCCAATCAATGTTTATGTTAAGAGCTGATTCTCTCCCATGCCCTTTGTCTTCAACTTTGACTTCTGCAATCCCCAATAATTTACCCTTTTTGAGGTAATTCTCTCTCCACCTTTAATTCATCTCTCTCCCTTAGTAGCAGTCTGACACTCACCCTGTCTTTCTTTTTCCCCAAGTCCCTTGACACAAGGCTCTTCTATGTAGCAGTTTTTTGAAGAAAGTTTGGGGCTACCACTTGTTGAACAAGGCAGGGTTGAACACACAAATACAAAATTATATCATTGCCCAGGTCCCCCCACAGGACCTCACCCTCGAGCTCCCCTTTATCTCCTCACAGAGTGGTCAAGCTGCCAGGCTTTTGGTCTGGGCTTTGCCACTTAGTAGCTCTGTGACTGTAGCAAGTTGTTGAACCCATTTGGGTCTAGGTTTCCTCATCTATAAAATGGGGGTAATGATAGTACATGAATCTAGGTAGAATTTGACAAAATGCCCCCAGAAAATGTGCTCCTTCCATGTGTTTATGATAACCTTCCCTTATCTCCTGCTATAGTTCCCCAAATCCATTCTTTTTAAAATAGATGGAGCCACAACTATGTGCCAGACACTGGATCTATAGGAGTGATCAAACTAGACACAAATCCTTATCATTGTGGAATTGACATTTTAGCAGAGAGGCCAAAAAAAAAAAAAAATTAACCATAAACAAATAGGAAATAATATGTTAGGGAATAAGTGCTATAATAAAATAAAGGAGGATAAGGAATATGGGGCTAGGAAGGAGGGGGCCTGACTGGAGTGGAGGCAAGGCAGGGGGACTCTATGCTAAGCTGACCTGAGCACAGACATGACTGAGGGATGAGACAGCCATGTAGACTGGCAGAGTTCTAGGCCCATTAAGACAGAAGTGCAAAGGTCCTAAGTTGAAATGTACTTGGCAGGTCCCAGGAACACCAGAGAGGCCAAGAAGGGAGAGAGGAAGAAGATAAGTGCAGAGAGGGAACAGAGAGGTGAGATCACTCAGAGCCTTGTGGGTCACAGTGAGAACTCTGCTTTTGCTCTGGAGTGAGGAGTGATGGAAACATCTCATTTCCGAAAGGCAGAAACCTAGTCTTTTCCTTTCACTTCAGACCACTAGGTCCATGCAAGGAATCTCCTCATCAGAAGGAAGAAAGCAATCCAGATGACCAGGGAGACCAGCTAAAGAAAGTATGTACTATTCACGCAAAAGATCAAAGTATTTCCATATGTCCTTATGTTGTGGGGACAAAAGAGGCAAGGCACCGAAGGTAGCAGGAAACAGTTTTATTTGGCTGCAGACAGGTTCAGAGGGTACAGTCTTTGCTGTAATCAGTCAGTCTTCTGAACCGCGAATACAGGTAATTTCAGAGTTTTATACCCAGCATGTAAGGGGAGGGGCTCAGAAGTTCCACAGTCTGCAGAAGTTCACACAAAAGCAGCTTTTTCCTTCACTGTTTTGGGCAAGTTAATACTTCAAGGACAACACCTGAGAAGGGAGAGCTTCTTCTCCCCTTTCTTTCTTCCCCTGCCAGCTGTTACCATGGAGCCCAATTGGTATCTTCTCTTCTCTTAAAAAATGTAGACATCTCTGTGAAGCCCAGCTCAAGGCCAGAAGCCTCCTTAGCACATTTCTACAAACTACTGGGTACATTTGTGAAAAATTATTAAGGGGGTGCCCAGCACCTGGAGTGCTGGTATCTTCCTGGCCGGTGGCCAAGCAAAACAGGGCAACAGGAAAATAGGAAATTTATCCATATTGAACTTTTTCTCAGAGACTCTTTGGCTGACAGTCCCAAAATCAGCCATGGTGAGAATTCCTGGAGAAGCCCAATTAAGACATTTTCTGTGGAGAGAGGGGGTGCCACTTCACTTACAAGGGAAGACTGTTTGTGGGGCAAACTGGAACGGAAAAAAGCATCTGTGTGTGTGTGTGTGTGTGTGTGTGTGCGCGCGCGCGCCCAAGTACAAAATCCACACCCAAAAGGTGATGGTGGCAACCTCTGGTGAGTAGGTCTGGAGTGGAAAAGTTTCATTTACTTTCAAAATAAACATCTTTAGAATCACGTTCATTGAAAGACACTCCCTGAATCTCCAACCCCTCAAAGAATCCAGGACCCCAGGCCTAGCACCACCTAAACGGTGGGGAGCTCCAAGTCCAGTTCTTCAGATTCTAAACCAAACAAAGGTTTCGGGCCCTGCCCTCCTCACCGAGACCCCGGAGTCCCATCTCCCCGCGCCGCGTCCTCGCTCAGGCCGCGCCTCTCACCGCGCGGGTTGCGCCTCTAACTCGGCGCCACGCCGCGCTTTCCCAGCACGGTCCTCTGTCAATCTCTGCACTGGCTCCGCCTCCCACTAGGCGGCTGAGACCCACTTTGGGCCCGCCTTTCAGCGCCGGCCCCGCCTCTGCACCCGCAGCTCCACCACTGCCGCGCTGGCAATTCCCGTTGCTTCCCTTTCTGGCTCCACCCGTCCTCGGGGGCCTTTCTCTTGGCGGCCCTCGTTTGGAGCTGTCCCCAGAATTGCCTGACGCGCGAGACAAGACTTTCGTAATAGGTATTCCCTTGAACCTGTTTTTTCCCGCCTCTAGAGACAACATCTTCCCGCTTGCTCTGGAATATTCTAGGGACGACCTCCGTTTTTCCTTTCCTCAACTCCAAGGCCGAGTTCCCGACACAGGCGCGTACCTTGGGTGCCCCAGGGCGGAAACCAGACTGACGCCGGGGGCCGAGCCTTGAGAGCGGCGCGTACTATAAAGCGGGACTCGCTGGGGCGCGCGCACGTTTTGCGGAGTGGGGAAGCAGGTGAGATGGTGCTTTTCGCTCCGCGCGCCTCTCGGTCTGTGCGGCCGGGCTCTGGGACGCACGTGTCGCGAGGTGTCCTGGGCTGCGGCGAGAGTGCCGTGTCGCGTGGACTGGGTCTCGGACTCTTTCGGGCCTCATCGAGGGCGCTGCGGGTTGAGCCTGGAGGTCTAGTGCGGGGAGGGTGGAGGCGCTTAGGCGGCGATTCCTTCCACCAGGTGGGTCGGGCGCGAGGCGCCGGGGCGGGCCTTCCTTTGTCTGCAGCGCGGATGGGCTGCGCCATTTCTGTGCCCACGTCGCGGGTTTCCGCCATCTTGTCGGTTTTGCGGGCAGCTGAGAAGGGGGTGTGTGACTTGAGGGACGGAAGAGAAGAGGGTGTTGGGGTTTCTGTAAGGGCAGAGACGACATGCCGATTTATCAAGGAAGAAGTGGGTCTCCAAGTGAACTAACTGGGCTATTGCAAAGAACCAGGTAGAGCAGAAAGAAGACGAGGCCTTTGCTCACCTTCAAGAATTGGTCTTCTGTAACTTAGTTTTCAAGACCCTGCCTTGGAGCCCCAGCCTGGAGTGGGCTACCTGATTTTAATCTTAATGTATTTGCAAATAAAGTTTGTAATTAACCCCAAATACCTCAACATTTGTTCCCTAAGGCTGACATGCTGTGTGTTAATGAAGCCCATTTCTTCATATGGTTATTTGCGATTTTCTTAGTGTTCAGTATTCCTAAGTCATCTTAAATGACTCGCAGCAGATTTGTTCAAACCTGACACAATCAAGGAGTCTGTGACCATTGTTTATGTTGTTTAGCTTTATTTTCTCCCAGAACATTTCCTTTCCTCGTGCCTCCTACTAAAGGATTTGCATCTTAGCAATGCTCATGGTTCAGGGTCATTAGTAGGTATAGCTAGTTCAGGAAAGATTGGGGTCCTCTTCGTGTTAATGAGTTTGAAGGTCCATCTCAGGACCACTACTGTGTGGAAGTATGACAGTGAGAAGTTGGGGGTCAGTTGAGTTTTGTGTTTTCCTGTCTTTGAAGGTAATGGCCTTGAGACGTGATTGCACAGGGGCCACGGTTCCCATGATGTCTAGCACTGGGCTCTGATCATTCCTGAGGACACAGTGCTCTCCAGGACCTTTGACACCTGGGGGTCTGAGGAACCCTGGTTTTGATGGTCTGGACATATGAACTGTTTCTTCCACACCCTCATCAAGTCCTTCCTATGTTACAGGTCTATCTTCTAGCTGAGGGGTTACCCACCATCATCCCATCTTGGTAAGAAGCCTTGCTCCAATGCCCTGATCCATCCAGGTCTAAAATACAAGATGTCTTACATATGTGCCAGCAGTCTTACTCAGTATTACATATTAAAACCATTTTATATCCATGGGAACCCAGTCAGCTACTCATACATCCAGACCCTAGTTCTGCTGTTCCTTGGCTTATAGAGGTCAGAGCAATCCCTCTCCTAAGCTTCAGTTGCTGTATTCATAAGGTGGGTGTATCTTCAGGAGCAGATGGTCTGAATCCTTTGCACAGTTGGGTGGTGCTGGTGGCATTTCCTGCTTTCCAAAGGCAAAGGGTTGAATAAGATGGGGAAGAAGAAGAGTATTTGGGTTTTAGGGAGAAGGAGTAATCAAAAAATTTTCAGACTGAACAGAGGAAATGAAACATTGACTCAGCATTATCATTGCCTCTCATATTGCAGGTTTTGTGGACTGGGTACAGTGTACCTTTAAGCAAAACAGTAGCTTACAGTCAAACATTTGGATGTAATTTGATAATTGAAGGAAACCTAAATTTACATAATAGCCATTGTAAAAATATCAGGATTTATCTTGAATGTTTTGTGTTTAAAAGAGCTACATCATAAGATAGGCATATGTTTGTTATTGGAAAAAAAAAAAACAAGTGTTCTCAGTTCCAGGATTTTCTATTGCTCTTGGGGTGTCAAGAGTAGGGAGGACAATGGCTGCAATGAAATAGACCTGAAAGTGTATCTCTGTGCTCTTGGAGGCTTAAGACCTTCGATAATCCAGGTTGTCCCCTGCAGAACACTGAACAGGTGTGGATGTGGGGAAGTCCTGGAGAAAGGGAGTCAGCATGGTGCTATTTGGGCAGGGATGTTAGGTGAGCAGAGGAAAGAAACACCTTGAGAAACATGAACTCTGAGCTCTACCAGAGTCCCAGTGGAAGGTTGAGGCCCTGTTCTGGTTTTTACAGAAAAGTCCTGGTGAGGTCACTTTCCAAGTTAGGTAAGTTGCAAGACTTGGTTAGGGAAAAAGCAGACCTGGGCTTCGGATCTGCCACTTGCCTGTAGGCTGCCCATAAGTACCTCCAGTCCAACCCTCCATGTGGAGGAGTGGCCTCAGGGTGGCTTAGGTTACTTGACTGCAGATCATCATAACAGAAGAAATATGTAGGGTTAAGCTGGACAGTGAGAGGTGGGCTAGGGGAACTAGGGGCTGTCATTTTCTTGCCCAGATCTCTGAAATTAATAAGCAGTGTCCTCTCAGGACTGCAGTGACCCCAGGGTCTGAATAAGGGGGTAACACCAGGACCCCTGTGATGTCTAGCACTGGGCTCTGACCATTCTTTGAGGATAATGTGCCCCCCAGGACCTTTGACACCTGGGGGTCTGAGGGGTCCTGGCTCCTGGTAGGGGATGGATTGGGATAATAATGATTTACCTGTACCCCACGGACCTTTTTTCCCTCCCCTTCTCCTGTCTACAGGTGGCTTCTCCAGGTGTCCTGCTGCCCAGCTTTCCCTCCTGGTAAGGGCGGAGGAGCTGCCTGTTGGTAGGGAGCACAGCTCAGCATCCTGTACTTGTGAAGCAGTGGCTTCCTTAATCTCCATAGTAACCCTGTGCTGGGAGGGAAGGGAGGGCTGTGCTGGGCCTGGGTTGCTATCCTATCAGGGTTGAGCTTGGGGACCCCATGATATTCAGCACTGGGCTCTGACTGCCCCTGAAGATATAGTGCCACCCAGGACCTTAGACACCTGGGGATCTGAGGGCCCCCACTCCAGGGAGGTGCTGGGTGGGGGTGTGGCCCTTTCTACTTCACACAGCTTCTGCAGAAGTGCCCTTCCTGACCCTCTTGCTCTTCCCTGCCTTGGGGCAGCTGTGGCCATGGCTGAGAGAGTGCTGGCACCCACCCAGATGGGCCGGGGAGACCGCTACTATACATATACTGAGCTCCTGGCCATTTCTCGGCGCTTCAAGCAGAACCCCAACGAGCTTATGATCACCTGGATCCTGCGGGTGTATGACCAGGGGGGCCCAGCTCTGTCCTTGAATTCCGGGGAGCTGGCACTGCTGGGTGACCTAACCCATGATGCCATCTTCAACTACCACTGCAAGACGCTGCGGGGTGGCTGTAAGACACTGCTCACCTGGCTACTACAGGCCTGGCGCCAGCGCTGGGAATCCTTCCTGCACTTTGAGGCCACTGAACTGCCTTTCCGTCCCTGGACCACTATGGAGGAGGGCATCCAGCTGGTGCGTGAGCTGGGCATGCTCGACTGGATCTACCGTGAGCTGCCTTCGCCACTCTCACCTCCTGAGCCCGAATATGCAGCGCCAGAGGACGTGCCTTTCACTCAGGGCCTGCAGAGACGCCTGCTTACAGCTGCGCCCTCAGAACTGCGGCTCTCACTGGTCAGCCTGCTGGTCAAGGGCATGACCGTGCTGGAGGCCGTGATGGAGATCCAGACAATTGCTGATGTAGGTTTGCTGTGGCGCCAGAGCCAGCCAGGCCGTGCCAAGCTCATGCTGGGGCCTAACCCCACACGCAAGGACCTCACCGGCTGGCTACTCAGCCATGGGGTGCCCAGGGAGAGAGTGGATAAGCAGCCCACCAAGGTCCTCCTGGAGCTGTACATCAAAGAGGCCAAGCGCAGCCGCAGCCAGCCAGTCTATGGGCTAGGAGAGGAGCAGCCGCCTCCACCTCCCTACTCTGACCAGGCCTGTGGGGAGGAGCCGCCCATACGCCATGACTAGCCCCTTCCAGTGAGTGGGGTGAGAGGCCAAACTCCAGAAGAGCTGCTTTCAGCCCAGAGTTCAGGGAGGACCTTTGCCTACACCTTTCCCATGTAACTCAAGCAGTTGTAGGTCATGTTCGGAGACCCTTAAAAAGAAAGGGGTGTCTTGTCCCTGGCTACTCCAGTTGCAGAGATGTTAAGGGAGTAGCTACAAAAACAGCCACTTGCCCAACTGGGCCTTGGAGTGGGTTGTGCCAACTTATCTTGGCCTGGCTGCAGGGTGATTGGGCACAGTAGTGGACTCACCCTCAGCCATTTGAGCCCCAAAGCACTAGGGGCCAATTGAATACCCCATAGCCTATAATACCTGGCATCTTGTTTTTACTTTTTTTAGGTTTTAGAGGCAATATTTTTACTTAATATGTTAAGCATGTATGACATTTTGGTTTTAGTGAAGGTCATTGCCTTTTCTAACTATTGTAATGCTTCCATTTTAAGGTGTGCTTTGCTGAGTGCCTCCCAGGGAGGGGCAGCCATCCCTCCAGGTGGGTCTGGTTTCTCAAATTTGTACATCTGGCCTTGGGCCAGTGTCTGAGGTAGGTTTAGGGGGATCTGAACCAGGATCACAGGTTTGGGGACAGCTGGTGGTGCTGTTTTCACAGGTACCCAATAAATGGTACGCATATCACCCTTTGTGAGCTGTGGTATTTGCTGTCCTGACATGGGCTGGGTCTGAAGTAGGGGAGATACATAAGGGCTTGTCCACCTTCAGGGCCATCTCCATTGCAGTGATCTGATGGAAGTGTGAGCCTGATGTGACCAGGTGGGAACTGATCCTAGCAATAGGGATGGTCCCCCACCCCATGGGGTCTGTGAACCTGTCTGTGAACAGCCTCCCAGGGCCAGAAAGTACAAATGGGTCACAGCTGTTGCCTTCATTATTGGAGGCCCTGTGACTACTGGGCACCTTTGGTAACGACAAGCAGGTTGGCTGACCAGGGTGCTCCAGTGTGGTGGTGGTGTAACCACTGGTTCTCAACTGGTGGGAGAGGAGAGCTTCCCTCCTGGGGCCAAAGATGGCTGACCAACCTGTAGGCAGTCGCATGTGGCTGGGGCCTGGGCTTGCTGGTATTGGACCTAACTTTTCCTGTGTGGTCCTTGCCTACCTTGCTGGCCACCCCCATCCTGGAGTGACCAGCCTTGCCTTGCTCTCCAGGGGCTGCTGCCTGAGGTGTGTGAAGCAAGGGGGCCGTGCTGGAGATGGACAGACACCTGCATGTTTGTCCACATGGGAGTACAGAAGCAGCCACGCAGCATGCATGTGTGTGCCACCTGCACACTGGCTTCCATGACAGGGAGCCCACCCAGCCCTTTTCCACGCACACAGACACAGTGACAAGCCAGAGCAGCGGGAGAACACGTGTTGGGATCCAGTCAGCTGAGGGGAGGTGCTACCCCAAGTTTCCAGCTCACACGGCCCCCCCTAAGGCCCGCAAGCAGCCAGGTCTCCAGGCCAACAAGCCGAGCCCCAGGCTAAGCACAGCCAGCAGGGCCACAGCTCCGGCCAGCAGGGGCACTGTGGTGGCTGCAGGAAGAACTTGGGGGTTGTGAATCTCAGGTCTGGGGGATCCCCAACTACTACCCCAGCTTAGAGAGCGGTCACCTGGGGGAGTGGTAGTCTCATAGTCATGGCAGGGGGCCCCATGCACTGGCGGTCGGGCTGAAGCAGTCAGCTGGCGGAAGTGCCCTAGTGGGCAGGGGGCTGGGCACCCAGGGAGGCTCAGGGACAAGGGTAGTCTGGCAGAGTCATTGCGGTAGAAGAGGGAGATGGTGATGTTCCTGGAGGGAGAGAGGAGAGGGTGACACCTACCACTGACCCTGGCTGAAGGAAGAGCCCAGATCAGGGGAGAGCTGCTGAATGGAGAAATGCTCCTGACTCAAACCTGTCAATCTCATCCAACTGTCCCTTCCAGGCAGCTTCTTTGGCAGTGCCCTCTGCCTGTCCATCACCCCTCCAGCCCATTCCCCTGTCCAATGTCCAGTTCCTCACCCTCCATCTTCTGGGTCCCTGAGACGTTTCCGGAACTCAAAACCAAGGCAGGCAGCATAGGGTGGGGTGTGCCCGTCATAGAGGCCTAGAGCCCCTAGGAGGGCCAGCAGGGTGCTGTCGTGCTGCAGGGAGATCCAAGTTCTGAGACAGGGTTTCCCCCTGGATGGCTCTTTCCCAAACTCTAGTCTTGGGCATCTAGCTGCCTCCCAGATATTCCCCAGCCACTTAGAACCAGTCCACCAAGCCTGCTCCTGCCTCCTCACTGGGGGGAACAGGTAGCCACTAAATATGATCAAGTAATGGCAATATATGGTTGGACACTGGTGAAAGAGCCTGTCCTTCCACAGTGTACCTCTAGTCTGAGAGTTAAGATTCGGGGATGGTGGTATCCAAGGCAGTGGGCTGAGATTGCATTAGGACCACCAGCTTTTCCTCACCCAAACTGATGTGACCTTCATCCCTGTGCCCATGAGGCACTGCCTTCCCTTCCCAAGAACTCACAGCTGAGTACATGACCATCTTGAGGGGCAGTCCCAGGCGCTGAACCCGGGAGAAGTTGGAAAGGATGGCATCCAGCAAAATCCCTGAAGGGGCAGGAACAGTGCTTAGAACCCACCCCGAGAGGAAGGAACCTCAACCCCCCACCTTCCCTACCTCCCAGCCCCACACCTCACCCCCTGTCAGCTGGGCCTTCTCTGCTGCCCGGGGTGGGCCCACATGGGCCCCAATATCCAAAGCAGAGATCTGAGCCAGAGTTCTCAAGACGTCAGGGGAGGCCCAGGAAGGTAGGGGAAGTCCGTGAGCTCGCTGGAGAGACATGGAGGGAAGACAGAGGGCACATCCAGAGTTGCCCCTAGTGCTCCTGGGCCCTCTGGTGCCCTACCCCATTAACTGCTGGTTCCTTCCTGCCCTTGTGGGCTGGGGGGGGGGGGGGTCATAGTGTGGGCAATAGTGATTTTTTTTTTTTTTTTGGTACTGGGTATTGAACCTTGGGGTACTCTGCCTCTGAGCTACATCTTCAGCCCCCCCCCCCTTTTTTTAATTTCAAGACAGTCTCACTAAATTGCCACGCTGGCCTGAACTGACAACCCTCCTGCCTCAGCCTCCTAAGTCTGAAGTCTGAGGTTACAGGCATGGTCCACCGCCCAGCAGCAGTTGTCTCATTCTACAGTTCAGCAGCTCTTATCTGACACCTTTAGGCAGAGGCGTTTTGGGATCTAGACATTAAGGAGGGCATGGGCAGTCCTTGTAACCCCACACACGCTTCCCTCTGTGCATGGCACCGCGTCAGGTCCACTCCTGCTGCCCAAGTTTTGGTTTATGGAGCTTTTCTGATTACAGGATAGCAGAGAAAGTATTGCCAAAACAGCCTCCACCTCTGTGTGGCCCAGTGTGCCAGCTGCTCCCATAAGCCTGTTACATGGATTAGTCACTTTAATCTTTGTGGCAACCACAGAGGAGATGGGCAGCCATTCCTGGTATGCAGATGGGGAAACCCAGTAGCATGGCACAAAGTTACGATTTGAACCACTTGGTCCGGAGGGACAGGGCAGGGGGCTTACCTGGCATATGAGTGTGTCCAGAACCTTCCATGCCCTGTGCAGTGGCTCCCCAACCAGCGTCAGCCCCGTGAAGTTGCTCAGGCGAGTCAGAAAGTCCTGGGTGCACAGGCTGGGTGAGTCTAGAACCTGGCACCCTGCCCCGCCAGCCCATCACCCTGCTCACCGTCCAGCCCTCCAGGGCCTCCTGGTACTCGGCGGCCTCTGTGGACTCCCGCAGCAGCTCATGGTATCGAGGACAGCTGCGCATGGGGAATCTCAGCAACTGAAGGAAACTGAGGCTCAGGACAGCAGTGGGCCCAGGGTCTCAGGCCCTGTCTCCCTCTCAGTCTCTCCCCAATCCAGATGAGTCTCATGGGAGGGGTGGCTTGCCCATGGACAGCTCAGCCCAGAGACAGGTTTACTGCTTTGAGCCATATGAGGCTTCTGGAAGCTGACCAACCCTCAGGCCTTGAGCCACCTCCATCCCTCTCCAGCTCAATGTCTTTATTCTTTATTCTCTCCCACCCCCATTCAGCCCCAGACCTTGTCCTCAGCAACAGGCACCGTGTGCACAGGAATTGGCCTCCAGTCCGTCTCAGGGCTCCCCGGGGCTGCCTCCGGGAACAGCCCAGCCAGGTTGGCCTGAGCGCTCTCCAAGGTCCGGTCGAAGTCTGTGCTCCGGATGTACACCTGGGGGGGTGGGGTGCAACAGGAAGGGGCACAGGGTCAGATGTGGTGGCAAATCAATGGCTTTAGATTCAGTTTGGTGTTGCTTGAAGGTCATGAAAACAGATTAAAGATTAGGCATTTAAGGTGGGTTCAAATGTCTGGCCTTTAAATGTGTCAGAGGTCAATGTTAGGAGCCCTCAGGTTGGAGGGCAGGTGTTGGGTAGGCGAGGGTTGAAGGAGTCAGCTGGGTAGATGACGGTCAAGATCATCAGAGTCAGGGGAATGGAGGCAAGAGGTCAAACTGAGGATGGGGGGCGGGGACGTTGCCATAGTTAGGTATATTGTCCTCAGAGGGATCAGGGTCAGAAGTCAGGAGGCCTGATCCTAAATATCAGAAAAGGAAGGTTAGAATGGATGAAGGACTGAAGGCTAGAGATCAAATGCTGGAGGTCAGGAGGACAAGTTGAAAAGAATTGAGTTTAGGAGTCAGAGGTCTAGTTGGAGTCAGTGGGAGTGAAGACAAAGGTGGAGGTCAGAAAGTAAGGTCAGAGGTCAGGGGGTCAGAATGAGGTGAGATTAGAAGTCAATGTGGGTTTATTGGTGACTCTGAGGTCCATAGAATGCAGGGCAAATTGATGGAGGGCAAAGGCCAGAGGTGGCACCCAAAGGGAGCACTGGAGTCAAACGTGGGAGGTCAGGGAGCCAGGTACAGGTAAACGTGCCAGTACCTCCTCCCGCCGGTACTGGGGACTCAGAAAGGACTTGTAGCGCCTCCGCAGGAAGTGGCCCAGCTCCAGCTGCTGGCGGACTCCCTCCTGGGGACAGAGCAAGGCCTCAGCACACCCTCCTCACCCAGCCACGCACCTCGCCCCCACGCTTCTCACCCTGGTCAGCTGGCCCAGGCCTCGAGGCCACAGGGCAGAAACGGCTTCCTTGTGTGGGTCTGTGGGATAGGAGGCCAGCGGAGCCCGGTCGCCATGGCGGAACACCTGGGGACAAATAGGGTCAGGGCTGGCCTGGGACAGAGGAGGGGCCAGGTGGGTGGGGGCAGCTCACCAGAGCCACGAACGCCAGGGGTCCTTCTGGCAGGGCCTGGTGCGGCAGCTGCAGCAGCAGCAGCAGGAGGGGCAGTCCAGCAGCATGGCCCTGCAACCCCAGTCCGGCCATCTCCACGCAGCCCAGACGCTGAGCTCAGCCGCCGCCGACTGCGCCGGGGCCTCGCCTGCTCATTACCCTGTGCCGCAGCCCCTGGAGCAGGCCCCGGCGCAGGCCCCGGCACGCCCCCGCAGCAGCTCCCGGTGCCTCGCCAGCCCACGCTGGATTAACCCGTGTACTCTCCACCGTTACCACCACCCATCACACAGATAGGAAACCAAGGCATGGGCAGAGTCATTGCCTGAGGGAGTCCCCCTCTCCTCTCCTCTCCTC